ACAAGGATCTATAGGCACAAGGATCTCCACACACACAACACTCAGACACTGCACATGCTCTCACACACATACACAACTCACAGAAACAGAGCCCAAGCTCTTGAAGGGGACCCCAATATGGTACACTGCCTAGAGCCCGGGGCAACCTTAATCCATCTTTGGCTGTAGTGTATGTAGTGTGTAGAGGCTGTAGAGAGTGTGTGTTTATGAAATGTAGAGTGCGTGTGTGCATAGGTGATCCAAAGTGCATGTAGGTTTATGTAGTGTGTGTCTATTGGGGATCTAGTATGTGTAGGGGTGCAGTTGGCATGAGGTGTGCAATGTGCTGGGTGGCATAGGACCTATATTGTGTGTGAGAGACGCAGTGGCGGATCTAGGGGTGGGGGCAACGGGTCAGTGGGTGTATGTGTAGTTACTTGTATCTTTGTGTGTCAGTGTGCATCTGTGTGTGTGCCACTGTGTGTAAGTGTAAGTATGTGTGTGTATCTGTGTGTGTCAGTGTCGGTACATCTGTGTATCTGTCTGTTATTGTGTTTCCATGTCCCTGTGTGTGGACGCATATGTGTACAGCCTCCTATCCCCTACACTAGAGCCCCCTATCCCTCGGCTGCAACCCTTTTCACCCCTCTACAGCCAACCACCAGTGCTGATATTTGGTTCTGGATCCGCCACTGGTGAGACAGAAGGAAATATATATATATATATATATATGAAACAAATACAGTCCTTGCACACAGGGTGAAAATATTTTAAAGTGCCGGGTGCCAGCCAGGGCTCAAAAGTATTCAAATAAAAAGTAGAGAAAGCTGCACTCACGGTCTCCGGTTAAAACTTCAAGGCTTTATTTAGTATTCATTAAAATAGATCAACGTTTCAGTCCCACATTCGAACTTTCCTCAGGATCAAACACATATCTGTGTAGTCTGGCAATGAGTGGGAATGTAGGGGTGTGCTTTATGTAGACATGTGTTCATGTAATGTGGCAATGTGTGTGAATGTAGGGGTATGCTTTATGTAGAGATGTGTTCATGTAATGTGGCAATGTGTGTGAATATAGGGGTGTGCTTTATGTAGAGGTGTGTTCATGTAATGTGGCAATGCGTGAATGTAGGGGTGTGCTTTATGTATAGGTGTGTTCATGTAATGTGGCAATGTGTGTGAATGTAGGGATGTGCTTTATGTAGAGGTGTGTTCATGTAATGTGGTAATGTGTGTGAATGTAGCGGTGTGCTTTATGGAGAGGTGTGTTCATGTAATGTGGCAATGTGTGTGAATGTAGGGGTGTGCTTTATGTAGAGATGTGTTCATGTAATGTGGCAATGTGTGTGAATGTAGGGGTGTGATTTATGTAGAGGTGTGTTCATGTAATGTGGCAATGTGTGTGAATGTAGCAGTGTGCTTTAAGTAGAGATGTGTTCATGTAATGTGGCAATGTGTGTGAATGTAGGGATGTGCTTTATGTAGAGGTGTGTTCATGTAATGTGGCAATGTGTGTGTGAATGTAGCAGTGTGCTTTATGTAGAGGTTTGTTCATGTAATGTGGCAATGTGTGTGAATGTAGGGGTGTGCTTTATGTAGAGATGTGTTCATGTAATGTGGCAATGTGTGTGAATGTAGCGGTGTGCTTTATATAGAGGTGTGTTCATGTAATGTGGTAATGTGTGTGAATGTAGGGGTGTGCTTTATGTAAATGTGTGTTCATGTAATGTGGCAATGTGTGTGAATGTAGGAGTATGCTTTATGTAGAGGTGTGTTCATGTAATGTGGCAATGTGTGTGAATAAAGGGTTGAATATTGTGGTAGTGTGTGCAAATTTAAAAGTGTGCAAATGCAGGGTTGTATTTGTATAGCGTGTCAGTTTGTACAAATGTGAGGGTGTATTAATGTAGTGTATCAGTGTGTGAATGTAGTAGTCTATTTATAGTATGTCAGTGTGTGGAATGCAGGCGCGTATTTGTGTATTGTATAAGCATATGTTAGTGCGGGAGAACATTTCTGTGTATTGTCAGATTGGGGAATATTTCTGTAGAGTGTCAGTGTGTGTGTAGTATAAGTGTGATGTGTTGTCAGTAGTATGTTTATGGGTTGTGTGTGAAGGTATTTTTTATGTCTCAATACCCCATACCTCCACTTGGAACCTCTCTCCATGACTTCCCTTTCCATTCTCCCCTTGCTTTATTCTAACCAAACTGTCTTCCTCCAGCCAATAGAATTCAAACATTCATTTTTTATTTTTTAGATAAAACCATCCTTTTGTTCTGACGGGCTGGTAGTTAAACAAACCACTTCTCCAAGGACACCAGTTTTCAAAATATTAAAATAGGAAATCTTTTATATACTTATAGAACTAGGATTTAAGCACACATCTCTGTCCAGTTTTTCCACGAGGACATTGGTTAGATTTGTGCCTCATTCCAAATGCTATGAGTGCATTTTCTACTGCCGGTTGGTCTGGTGACAATATGGCTTCAGACTGTTCTGAGACTTGTAGCATTTTATCTGCTGGGTGAGGACAATTGCATTTGTTGCAATTACTAGTTGGGGACTTCTCTGAACTCCCCGTAAAATTCATGACTGCTTAACCAAAGGTGGTGTCCAAGAGCCTTGTGGCCTCAGTCCACGACGGATTTGCCCAAGTATCCTGCATGTGCTGTTACTATATGATATAGAAACTAGATTTTTTGGACTGATGTCAGTATCTAACATGTATCTAGCATGTGAAGTCTCTTTGCTACATGAATATAAACACACATTCCAGGAAACAGAACGTAGAGTGATAAAGCGTAGTTTTTTAGATAACATCCGCAAAGAGAGAAATTGGAACCTTGTAGACATCATATCTGACTAAAATTGAGCTGAAACACGGATGTGTGGAAATGTTGCTTTTGTGAAGCAGACTAATAATGTGCAGAGGTCCCAAAACAGATAGCATTGAATCATTATGCAAGCACACGCCTGTTTAGAGAGGTGTCAGAAATCATCAAGGATCTCAGGGATGGAAGTTTAAGGTTATGCATTGATTGAAGACACGTGATTTGAAGAAGTGGACTCCCACCATACTAATGTATAAAAGGTATTTCCCAGGCATGTGAGAGCCAAGATCTGCATCAATAACCAACACTCCAGTAAGTAAGACGTCTGCAAATTCTGTGTTAACCTAGATATGAAATAGTGCAGAGCAGGAGATGTGCTATGTGTGTCGATGCAATATTGTCACTTAGCAGGTGTGGGTAGCCTTGCGTACTGTCCTTTATTTGGAGAGACCTGTGACACTCTGAACATTGACGTCTCTTGCCACGTCTTTAGTTGCTGGTGGTCCTCCATTAGTTTGTCTTACCTGCATCTGTAGCTGCAATGATTATATTAAAATCAATATCAATTATTTAGTTTATTGCTTTTATTCTGCTTGTTGTATTTTATTCATACTAATGTATATACACGTATGTTGCGTATTAACTGAAAGACCTGCTGTAAGTGTCAGCCAAGAAAAGGAAAAATAAAAAGGAAATTAAATTGGGGGGAGGGGGAGGGAAAGTGTGCCACAATAAGACATGCCAAAGCCCACATTGAAAATGACCCTAACTGGCTGTTTGTGAAAAATCGGCAATGCACAAACAGCTATTAATAATAGTCAGTATAAATAGTCATTGGTTAACGCACAGTCCATTAATGATAGCAAAACTTACCATGAATAAGTCCAAAGGCAGGAACCTTCTATACAGTCAATAGAGTAAAAAAAAATAAAAAATAAAAAGATTTAAATCTTACCGACTTTGGCATTTTTTTTTTCAATCAGTATTGGTTTCGGTATTTTTTCTGCCTTTTATTAGGTTGATATATTTTATTAGACTGGTATAGCACTTCTAGCCTTAGTGTAACAACTGTATTAGAGAACTCCTTTTTGATACTAACAATAAATACTGTATTATAGTGTGAGTGTGGTATTTATATTTATAGTGTATGACATGTTTACAAATATATAAAATATAACAAAATGTATTTGTATATTTATTTATTTTACCAGGATGGATACATTGAGATATCTCTCGTTTTCAAGTATGTCCTGGGTCTTTGTCCACGAAACATTGCATTGTTACAATAGGATACAATATTACAAAAATACACTATACTATATATATATATATATATATATATATATATATACACACACACACACATATATAAATTTAATACATAACAGGTAATAAATATATTCAACCATGATGGGTGCATTCTGTGCTGAGGTATGTTGCCATAGATCTCTTAAACGATTTTAGATTGAATGAAGATTTGACTGTGTCCGTGAGGTTATTCCATAATTGCGGTGCTCTGTAGGAAATGGAGGATCGAGACACTTTATTTTTGTATTGCGGTATGCTAAATATCGTGCTAGTACTGGATCGGAGATTATAGGAGGTGGGAACAGCTGGCGAGAGCATTCTACTCAGGTAGGGTGGGAGCTTCCCAGAAATGCTCTAATGCACAAGGCTGGAAAGATGAAGAGTGCGTCGGGATTCCAGCGACAGCCAGTTTAGCTCTTTTAACATGTCACAGTGGTAGGTCGTGTAATTACATTATAGCACAAAGTGGTAGAACGAGTTATACAACATAGTAAGTTTATTAAGGTGGGTTTGTGGTGCAGGTGCATACACTACATCCCCATAATCAATGACCGGCATTAGCATCTGTTTCCTTACTGTAGGGCTTAGGCAGGATTTGTTTCTGTACAGGGCGCCTAGTCACGAAGAATGATTTGTTGGCTCTTTTAACTTTACTTCAAGGCTTATTCATTTTTGTTAAAAGACAGGAGATCCCAGCTTTCATTCTTTAATTGTACCACTGAAGGCTGATGACAAGGCTGAGCATACAACACCAGGTAATGAATGCCAACAATACTAATAATTGTGTTTTTATTGTCTGTTTTTTTATAATAGGTCCATTGGAAAACTATTGGTATTGTATTCATTTCTTTGCTACGTCAGAATCTCTAACTCTGCACCATGGTTCTACAAGACAGCGAGAGAGCTCTGATTCAGACTTTCTGTGACAAGATTGCTCCTAAGGCTGATGCTCTGGGAGTTGAAATTATGGAGAGGTAACAATTAGCAATATTTTATTTTACCCCTTGCATGTGGTGATCCAGGAGTGTCACCGTTTATACATCTGTAAGTCACCGCAGTTCCAACACAGAGGCTACTCAATTGGAATATTTGCCAGAAGTCAGTGTCAGGGGAAAGGCAGGGCTTGCAAAGGCTGAAGACAGTTCTTTTAGTTTTTTATTTAGCAGAACTCTTGCGACTTGTTTTTTGCTCTGTTTAGCAGAATACACACGATTTTACAGAACTTCCATCTCTCTCCGCTTTCTAACATGACATATTTTATATCCAATAAACTCTTGTTGTCCATTGTGATAAAACTTGCTTTTTCCCCCATTAGGTATGCCAATGCCTACCCACAAATCACTGATTACTTTAAAAAACCTGATTCATCCATCAACAAGCCTGTTATGATAGGTCATGGGGGCAAACTACTGATTTCTTTCGGAGATGCCATCAAAAACTATGACAACCTCAAATGCTCATTGGGGAGCCTCACTGACTTGCATCTGAATACACATAATGTGTCACGGGAACCCTACAAGGTAAGAACCCTTAGGTAGGGACACTCGAAGCACCAGAGCTTACAATAAGTAATACATAGCACATGGTCTTATTGAACATCACATCTTGCAACTGCAGTGGTTCATAAAAATTGCAGCATTATTTGCTGCAGTATGAGCCCACCCCACAGCGGGAAGCTATGCTTCTAATATAGTCACCGCAATCCTATCAATTAGCAGAAATATGAGTCTTCTAATAAGCTCTCTATTCCAAAAATATTAGTCAAAACCAGTTGAGCTTTCGTCTGTGTTTCTTCTCTACACATTGAAGAAGCTTACTACAAATGCTATTGATTATTATGGTGGACTGACTGATTTCAATATAAAACACAAATCCTTCAATGTAGATTTATTAAAGTTTTATTTCAACGTCACGGCTTAAATGGCAATTACTAATGCAATCAAGGGCATTTACATTATGTAACAAAAAAGCTTTAAATTGTATTGACAAGAACTGACTGTCCTCTTGCTGCCTATTATATCCCACCCAGTCGCCATTTGTAACAATATAATTATTCACTTCACCTCTTAATGGTTTTAATGTTGTGGCTAATCAGTATATATATATATATATATATATATATATTGGATGGGGCTATTAACAGCAACTTTTTAGTTATTTTTAAATTAAAAATGTAAATCCGTAGTATTGATTAAGCTGGGTGGGATGGGGGTAACATTATTCTGGGCTGGTTAATGACGATATCAGAGGTGACAGCATTTCAAATTGAAATGTTGCATATCCAAATTACAAGCACCATGACCACTTTCAATCACTGAAGTATCCATGGTGTTTAATGGACACAGATTCTAAATGGAAGTTACACATACATCTTTATTTGTAAACAATGTTTTATTTCATTTACACAAAAGATAAAACTAAGTTAAGTTAAATGTTCGCAGAAACATTGGTTTGAACTAGACTTTAAGGTTGTCTATCAAAGATTTATAGAGCTTCATGGAATGTGTACTGCTAGGACTGCTGGCTAGGGAGACGTTCTGTATTTCTTTATGACTTGGCAAATAATGATCACAGAATTTGTATTAAGTTAGTACTTATTGCTACATATTATCATTGCAAACTCATCACCAAAACTCAGGACGAGTCTTCTAAACAGAACCTTGAAATTGTTTAAAGAAAAACATTAAAAACCCCTTCTGTCACTTACCTGGGTCCAGCGCCGGTGTCCCTCGCGTCCGCCTTCACTCCTCCCCTGCCGACATAAGCCTGGCATTAGGATTTCTTCATAGGAAAGCATCATTCAATGCTTTCCTATGGGGTTTTGGGTTACACTGGAAGTCCTCATGCATAGCGTGAGGACGTTCAGCATCATTTAGGCGACCAAAAGTAACCTAAAGACTAAAGACCCGGAAGTCCCTCTAGTGACTGTCTGTTAGACAGCCAATAGAGGAGGCGTTAACCCTAGCAGGTAATTATTACAGTTTTTTAAAGGGTGATGGGACACTGCAGCCTGATCACTTCAATGAGTGCCTATAGTGTCCCTTTAAGAAACACATGTTGATTCATAAGAAATGTTTTTCTACAACAGTTTAGTCTTTTAGACTCTGACTAAACGAGTCTACTTGACTCTCAGTCTCTCCCAACTCAGACCCTGAAAATCAACTTCAGACAACAAAAACTGAAACACAAACAAAATGGATACAAAGTAAACCCACAGACAAAGTTAAGCCTCAGAAACACACTTCAGGTCCAGAAAAAATGAAGTAAAAATATTGAGACCTAAACTTACACATTTCCCAAAATATATTCATTAAGAAGTCGCTCACACAGTTTAGTGTTGAATACAATATACTGTTTCCGTGACAAAAGCTATTTTGCTCTAATTATAATGCAGAATGTTGATGAATAACATGTCTTTTCTCTACAGCTCCTTAATCATTCAATTCTAATCACATTCGCTGTTAACTTTTCACCTGAGTTCAAGAATTATCAGATGGAAAACGCATGGCGAAAATTCCTTGATGAGATTGCTTGTGTCATGACTAGTAAGAATTAAATCTCCACTAACAGGAAATTAAAGGAGAATATGTAATCCAATGTTAATCGAAGACCCCGGAAACGGTTACTATGGAGAGCTAATCTGTGTATTCATTGCATATTTCTCATAATAATTACACAAATAAAAAGTGATTGGCATTATAAAAACCTGGTTTCATTAGCTATTTGAGTTTTTATTTTATTTCAAAATCATCTTTTAATAGCAGCCACGTTAAAAAGCCGTAATATACAGTCTACTTACCTCACGAATAAACTCCACAAATACCAAAATATAACCTCTCAAGGGGCCCATATTCCACACGTTTGTAGGTGAAGTGTAGGTTTGGAGTGAATCAAGTTTCCTTAGAAGGACTGGTAGATACAGGAATTAAAATGTTCTGTATGGAATGAGGTGAGGACAATGTCCAGTATTTGGCTGTAGCAGTTTGCTGTTTGGCTAAGGAAATATGACACGTGTGCTTTTATAGTTGATATACTGAGCTGAAATAGGTTTCTGTATCAATATTTGTAAGGAAAGATGTATCTGGGCCCACAATTCCTGAACAGCACCACACACGTGGAGGTGAGAACTGTGGCCAGTTTTCAAAATGGATATTATGTAACAAGAAAATAACCTGCACAGGTGAGCTACAGAATAAATAAGGGGAATGAAAGATGTAGTTACAGAGGTTAGGAGTGTTTACGCAGACTGACCTAATGCAAGCTGTTGTCAATAACAGGACTGGGCAAAAGATATAGCATTCTCAATTATTCAACAGGACTGTAACATTGAATCAGTTTAGCGACGATAAAGGGAAACGAGAGAAGGTGTAGCAGCTTAGGGGAGCAATTAAGAATCTAATAGCAAGATGTAGATAGTTGAGCAGATAAATATATCTGAGGCAATTATTTCAAAAAACCTCCACTTATGATTAGTATCGAGTGAATGGGAACTAGAGTTGCTTTTTTCAAAATAGGAATTTCATTCTTGCCCAACAAGGAAACTTTGAGAAATCTGGATATAATTATATAAGTAATATCACGTAAGCCTTACCTCACGACTGACTGGCCAGTGAGACACTAAATATTAGTTTTGCTTTATCTCTACCTGTCACGGGTTTGGGGTGAATGGGCTTTACCAGGTGGCCCAGGATAGGATCATGTATACAAGAGTTAACCAAAATAGGTTCAGGCACGCAAGGAATAACCAAGGCAGGTCCAGGTAGACAAGGGTTAACTAAGGCAGGTCCAGACAGACAAGGGTTAACCAAGGCCGGTCCAGGCAGACAAGGGTTAACCGAGGCCAGTCCAGGTAGGCAAAGGTTAACCAAGGCTAGTTCAAGCAGACAGGGTTTACCAAGGCTGGTTCAGGCAGACAGGGTTAATCAGGGTGGGCTCAGGCAGTCAATGGTTAACCAGATCAGGTTCAGGCAGACAAGGGTTAATCAAGGCTTTGGAGGCTTGTAACCTCTAGGGAGTTCACACGGTAACTGAGAAAAGCACCCAAGGTGGGTTTGGTTTAACCCCTTAAGGACCAAACTTCTGGAATAAAAGGGAATCATAACATGTCACACATGTCATGTGTCCTTAAGGGGTTAAATAGGGTAGGGGGAATGGAAGCTCTCCCACGAGGAGAAGTCTCTAGCCTTTATAAGTAGATGAGATCTCTCCGGTCCTCTCTTTTTATTAGATGTCATTCTGCTCCATCACTATCCCTATTGCTATTAAGAAGTGTATTGTCATGTATACCTCTTTGTTTACGTTGTTGGCTGGTTCACTTTGTTTTGCACTGTGCGCACTTTACACTGCTTGCGTGTCTTTACCAATGTGTGCTACTATTTTCCCCTCCAGGACTAGTGAAACAGGTACATCCTGAGGACTCTATAATATCCTTATGGCAACTTAGCCTTATACCTAAAACTCCTACTCAGCACAGGCTGCCTACTTACCGATAATTACATACCTGCAATTTACCATATCTCATTTACCATTCGCGGCACATTAGAATTTCTTATAATGAAAGTAGAATTCTTAATGTATAACTAAATGTATAACGGGTTTAATTTGGATTTAAGAGAAGTAGGTGGCCTTGTAGTCTTTCTGTATTTCTTCCATCTCTCTAGAAGTGTCTTTTATAAATACACTGAACTTTCATATCAACTCATTTATGTTACAGACCAGGAGTGGGGAATAAGATCTCTTAATATAATCAGCCCAAGATTATTTGGTAGAGGAAATAACTCCTGCTACAATATTCTCTTACAAATTGCTCAACCTTTTAAAGTATGTGTCCCGGTGGTTTATATCCCGGTGATAAGAGAGTCTAGGAAAGAATATTAAAGAACCGTATATACACTCACCCTGTCACGACCACCTCCCCTCGTCCTGTCACACTCCAACCGTGCCACACTCTTCCCCAGCTCTGTCAGCACCCCTAACCCTTCCACACTAACCCTGTCACATTAACACAAAACAAAGGAAACGGCGCTATAGAAACCAATAATAATTACTATACCTGTCAGTCCACCAACCCTTCCACACTCAACCCGTCACAATAACGCCTCTAATACTGTCACACTTGCCTCTCAATTAACCCCCCTTAATCCGGTCACATTCACCTCCCATTGCCCTGTCCCACTCACTCCTCCAACCATGCCACATTCTCCCCACCTCCGTGATACGCATGCCACATTCACTCTATCGCATTAACCCCCTAATCTTGTCATACGTACCTCCTCTCTCCCCAAACCATGTCAATCACACTTACGCCTCAACCCTGTCTTATTCACCCCCTTGCTCTGTCTCACTCACCCTGCCACAGTTACCCCTTTAGTCACCCTGTCACCCCCTGAAGACAATTATTATACACACAGTCATAAAACATAGCTTTGCCATAAACTCAGTGCCCAAAAGCCACAGACAGGCACCTCACCCTCCCCCCTCCTACCCCACTCCACCCCCCCGCCCCCCACAGCCTCCCATACACAAAACACTGCAAGCAGCTGTCCCACACACAAATGGTCTCAGAGAAACATACTTAGAGATGCAAGGATACTCACTGTCCGGGACATACACAGGTAGACCATGCAAGACACAATCCAAAATATACACACTGTGACTGTGACTGTGGTGTGTGGTGTGTGGTGTGTGGTGTGTGTTGGGTTTTTTCTTTTTTTTTTTTAATATACACACAGTCCAACCAAAATAAAAATATCTGTTTCCAATAACCCCTTCACACCAGCACCTATGTAGAAAGAAATGTTAGGTTATGCAACCATACCCCACAGTCGTGTATAAACCATTAGCATAATTGCAAATCTAAATCTGTTTATTGCAAACTATGCCACCTACAAGCCTCTGAACGATGTATACAACTCCCATTCTTTGCCCACATCTTTCACCGTAGATCAGAGCAGTACGCTTGTCTCTCATGGCACACTGTTTCTTTCTAAAGTCACAAAACTTCCAGAGATTAATCATGACACTGTGCAATGCAGGGGTAGTCAACCTGGTCCCTACCACCCACTGGTGGGCAGTTATGGATTTCAGGTGGGCGGTGGTGGGTTCTGCAGAAACTGCCCAGTGGGCCTCGATGGCCGTGGGCCAATGCTGGCAGGGGAGATCCTGTCATCTCCCCTGGCGGCCCATGCAGAGACAGTCTTGCAGTAAGCAAGCTCGGGCTGTTGAGAAGATCAAATATCTTTCTCATCAGGCCGCTGGCACTTTGTTCTAGCAGAAAAAGGGCCTGGGAGACTGTGTTCCTCCCATGAGCAGACTTGTTGAAGCGTTACCATGGCAATGCTTCGATACAGTGCTGTGCTCGTAGGAGGACAGGCGGACCAGCCTGCAGCCAGAGGAGCTGAAGGCTAAAGTGAACATGCCACCACTGGACCACCAGGGCTTGCAGCATTATATCCCTCTCCCTGGTAAAAGGGAAGTGTAGCGGAGCCCTAGTCCTGGCAGGGACTCAACTCCGCTGGTTATATCAAAGTAAAACAATTCAAGGGAACATTCCAGAACAAATAGAATAATCCAAGAATCTCCCACCTCCTCCCCAGCAACTGGACGACACACAGCTCTGAGGGTACAACTGAACTTTATTGTCCCATGCAAGGGGTTCCACATACAAGAATGCAGGATTTTCAATCCCAAGATCCTCTGTGCCTGAGAGATAATTGCCTGAGAGAACGCCTCATTTAATTATCTCTCTGGTACAGAAAATCCAACAATCTAGCCTGTACCTCAACCATACCTCAGAACTCCATGAAACATTTCCTGATAGCCACGATCTGAGTGTCCAACATATCCAAGAATCACTCAGATCGGATTGGCAAAACGGGAATGGCATTGTTTCAAAGTTTTGGCCGAGCACGTGACTCTAGCCCAAAACAGTTCCTGGGAAATTGGTGCCCTGTGCAAATACAATATAAGGGAATCTCTTCTTTTTTTTTTCAGGATACGAATGCTTCCCCAGTTCTGTAGTTCATATTTCCCGAACGTCTCTTGTGTAGGTGGTCGGGAACTGGAACGGGCAGCGGTCTAAGGCTTACCGGTTGTCGTGTGAGTGCCTAGCTGAAAAGAGTTCCAGGTGCACTGCCCATGTTCAGGAGACAAGATGGCCGCTATATTCTCTGCCACATGTTTGGTTATACAAAATGGCGGCCACCCAGGGCAAGCACTTATTAATTGTTTCGCACTTGAATGGTAGGTGTCAACATTCTTATGGGGCACAGGGGTTGTCCTTGTTCGGGAGACTGTCAAGGCTATACTCCTCAACACGCAAACCAGAGAACAATAAAGGCGAACACAGATAGACGTATTACCGGACCTTAAATTGGCCGGACTTACCATAGGAATAAGAGATAAGAATAGTCAAACACGCCAAGGTCAGGAATACAAAGATACGGGAAAACGAAATAGACAGAGCCAAGGTCAGGGAGCCAGAAATAAGAATAAGAAGCCGAAGTCAGGAACCAGAGAAAAGACAACTACTAAGAACGCACTCTCGGGCTAGAATAAACCACGACAGGGCAAGGAAGTGATGTCAGAAGGAGGTTAATATAGGGCAAGTTGAATGCGGATAGGCAGGGACAGAATTGAAGGAGGTATAAATAGATAGTGGTAACAGGCCTCTATCTCTTTAAATTTGAGTCCATGATATCCCTGTCGGCTACCTAGTGCACGCGCGCACGTCCCCGGGTGCTCTCCCAGAAGCGCGCGCGCCCCCGGAGACGCACGCGACGCACGGACGTGATGCCCGCCAGCGATCCACACCGCCCGAGACGAGAGGACGGACGGCGGGTCCGGGACGGCGCGGGACAGCAGGTATGACAGAGACAAAGGGATTCCATTCATATGTAGTCTCCCGAACAGCCAAAGAGAATCACACAAAATAACATGGGGAAAACACACGAAAGGTGGAAGTTTATAACAGGGGGGTAAGGACAGCCAATAAAGGGAATAAGTGTCTAGCAAGCGTACATTCTGTTACAGTAAGTAGAAGGGAGGGGGAGACATTAAGATAGATTTTTCACATCTCCCCCACCAACACACATCATAGACCCTATGCATCCTTCACAGACACAGTATTTACAGATGAAAATGAAGGAAATGGACCTCCGTTAGGAAAAAGGACAAATTAGTCATTTGTTACATGTGAGTTTACAGAGGAAGAGGTTCTATTTCAACTGTCAAAAGTAAGACAAATAAGTCAATGGGACCTGATGGAATACACCTAAAGTTATTAAAAGAGCTTAGTGGTGTACTAGCAAAACCATTAACAGATTTATTTAACCAATCATTGTTAACAGGAGTAGTCCCAGAAGTAATGCTGTGCCCATTCACAAGAAAGGTAGTAGGGAGGAGTCGGGCAACTATAGGCCAGTAAGCCTTACTTCAGTAGTGGGGAAAGTGATGGAAACCATGTTAAAGGATTGGATTGTTGAATATCTAAAAACACATGGATTTCAAGATCAGAGACAACATGGGTTTACTTCAGGGAGATCATGCCAAACTAATCTTATTGATTTTTTTGATTGGGTAACTAAAATTATAGATCAGGGTGGCGCAGTAGACATTGCTTACCTAGATTTCAGTAAGGCTTTTGACACTGTTGCACATAGAAGGCTTATCAATAAACTGCACTCTTTAAGTTTGGATTCCAATATTGTTGAATGGGTAAGGCAGTGGCTGAGTGACAGGCAACAGAGGGTTGTAGTTAATGGAATATATTCGAAGCTTGGGCTTGTCACCAGTGGGGTACCTCAGGGATCTGTCCTTGGACCCATTCTCTTTAATATTTTTATTAGTGATATTGCAGAAGGACTTGATAAGGTATGTCATTTTGCTGATGACACTAAGATATGTGACAGGGTCAATGTTCCAGGAGGGATAAGCCAAGTGGCAAATTGTTATTATTTATATAGCGCCATCAAATTCCGCAGTACTTTACAGTGGGTGGACGGACAGACATGTAGTTGTAACCAGACAAGTTGGACACACAGGAACAGAGGGGTTGAAGGCCCTGCTCAATGAGCTTACATGCTAGAGGGAGTGGGGTAAAATGACACAAAAGGTAAGGATAGTATTAGACTAATGACCGTTGCAAGAGAGGAATCAGTTGGGAGCTATTAACAATTTAATTGATATGCTTTTATGAAGTGGGTTTTTAATGATTTTTTTTTATTTATTTTTTTAAGGAGTGGAAACTGGGTGAGCAAATGATTTAGGTAAACTAGAAAAATGGTCAGAATTGTGGCAACTGACATTTAATGTGGATAAGTGCAAGATAATGCATCTTGGACGTAAAAACCCAAGGGCAGAGTATAGAATATTTGATAGAGTCCTGACCTCAACATCCGAGGAAAGGGGTTTAGGGGTAATTCAGATTACCTAAAGGTAGGCAGACAATGTAAAAGAGCAGCAGGAAATGCTAGCAGAATGCTTGGTTGTATAGGGAGAGGTATTAGCAGTAGAAAGAGGGAAGTGCTCATGCCATTGTACAGAACACTGGTGAGACCTTACTTGGAGTATTGTATGCAGTACTGGAGACCGTATCTTCAGAAGGATATTGATACCTTAGAGAGAGTTCAGAGAAGGGCTACTAAACTGGTTCATGGATTACAGGATAAAACTTACCAGGAAAGGTTAAAGGATCTTAACATGTATAGCTTGGAGGAAAGACGAGACAGGGGGGATATGATAGAAACATTTAAATACATAAAGGGAATCAACACATTAAAGGAGGAGACTATATTTAAAAGAAGAAAAACTACCACAACAAGAGGACATAGTTTTAAATTAGAGGGTCAAATGTTTACTGAGAGGGTAGTGGATGCATGGAATAGCCTTACAGCTGAAGTGGTAGAGGTTAACACAATGAGGGAGTTTAAGCATGTGTGGGATAGGCATAATGCTTTCTTAGCTATAAGATCAGGCCAGGGACTTATGAAAGTTATTAGAAAATTTGGCAGACTAGATGGGCCGAATGGTTCTTATCTGCCGTCACATTCTATGTTTCCCACACAGACTGCCCCCCTACACACACAGACTGCTCCTTCACAGACACAAACATAGAAAAAAGTAGAATAGAAAAATAGATAAATTTAAGTGCATATTTAAAAAAGTATATACAATTAGTTACAGCTGCCCTGGTGGGCAGTAAGGACATTTTACCATCAACAAAGATACAAAAGTGGGCGGTATTGTATAGGTATTACAAGGTTGACTACCCCTGGTGTAATGTCATGCTTTCTTGTTCATCTGAGGTTTTATTTACCTAATTTTAAGACCATTAAAAAAAATAAAAAAAACATGGAGTGAGCTGGGTTGCAGTGGTCCTTCTTGGGTTAATCTGCAGTGTACAACATTGCAGGTTTTTAGAAACTGCAAATTTTGCATTGCAGTGTTAAATCCACCTTCAATGGCTATTAGAGACACCCAGTAGAGATGCTGACAGTAAAACATGATGCTGAAGCTTCCATAGGAAAACATTGTTTTAGTACTTGAATGTGTGTCCTTGATGTTCCTCCTATGAGCAGCGTTGGACTGGATCATCGCAGAGCAGGCTGTACCTCCATGATGTTGCAGGAGCCAGAGAGGTAAGTAGTGCTGAATCGATCTTTAAATGGTCTTTCTATCCAAATGAAGAGCTGCTTTTTGCCTAGATTTATCAGGGCCCACCCACAATTGTCTATATACTTCAACAGGCTTGATTTATCCCCAGACTACCCTGATATGCTTGCTCATGGAGGAAAGATAATGAATGCTCTCGGAGATGCCATCAAAAACTATGAACGACTAAATGAATGCATGGAGAGCCTCACTGACTTGCATGTGAATACACTTCATGTGGAACATGGTCCTTACATGGTAAGAATCCTACTAGTCTTAAAATGGTGACAACAGCATATTCTCGGGAGCAGGAAAGAATTTGTTCTGAATTATGGTTATGAATACCTACTAAGACAAACAAGCATTTTATGGTACCCACCAGGCATTTGAGATATGCACAGCTATAAAAAGTGTCTTATTTCAATTTGTTAATTTTCTAATTTCCATTTTTCTTAAACAAATGTTGGCTACAGATATTCCAAAGGATACCAAACTGTTGTGCTGTTTAGCAGTTGGCTCCCTCATTTAGTTTCCTATATAAAGGTACCAAAATAAGGAGCATCTTCTACTGCTGTCTGAAATATAAAAATTTTATATAAATAGATATGGAATTTTAGTTGCTTCTCCTAATTTTGGTATCCTTACAAGGGATTGCTGTAATTAAATGTAGCACATTAGGGAGCTCTTCTGTTTAACAAACTCCCTAACTTATTATCTCTACAAAGGCCATTCTAAGACTACCATTTGTGAGCCATCTACTAAAGCTGAAGACCAGAAACTGCTTTTCTTTTGGCATTAAAGCTGTTTAGTAGATGGCTCTAATATCTATATGGGGGATTACATTTTTAGGGATGTATCTACTAAACTGCTGAGAGCTCAACATTAAGGTGAGTGGGGGAAGGGGTAAAGCTCCTTCCTTAATTTTGTTTAGTTGCTTGGTAGAAAAGTTCATAATTTGCTGTTATTGCAAAGTCAGTTTTTTGTTGTAGTTTGTTTTTTGTTAAATAATCTGCAATTGGACTCTAATGATACAAACTATTCATACCCGTCAGCCATTCTAACTCCAAATATAATAACCATAACCACTAATGTAATAAAGGGCTTCTACAATAAGCATTATGTAACAGAGCAGCTATACATTGTATTTACACATTCATTGTTTAGGTTTGTTTCTCTCTGCTCAGCATGCCCACTGCGCTGTCTGTTTAATAACTCTGTCTGATAATAGAATGCCCTCTGTCTGTATTCGTAGGTGAACTATCCTTGCAGTTTGTATATACACATAAGTTTAGAATTGGATATCCCCACCAATACTGAATTAAACTATAACATAAAAACTTCAATGAGATGATGCAGTTGATGTTCCTTTAATTCTATACAGTGTTGATCCGAGGGAAGTTACAAAACCTAAAATATTAAAAGGGACTGGGAAACGGGTCTTTACAATCTGGGAAACCTTTTTATTGGTTTAAAACATGTTGCATATTGTAAAAAAAAAAAAAAAAAAAAAACTCAAACAAAAAAAAAACCTCAACTGTTTAGACTGGGGTAGTCAACCTGGTCTCTGGTGGTTTGGGATTTCAAGTGGCCAGTGGTGGGTTGTGCATAAACCGCTTGGTGAGCCTCAATAGCTATGGGCCAAGGCCAGCAGGGGAGATTCTTTCACTTTCCCTGCCCCCCCATGCAGAGCCAGCCTTGCTGTAAGACCTCTTGAGCTGGTGACGAGATCCAAGATCTCCCTCACCGGGCCACTGGGACTTTGTTCCAGCAGAGGGAGGGAAGGGCCTGGGAGGCTGTGTTCCTCCCATGAGCAGACTGGTCGGAGCGTTGCCGTACATTACCATGGCAATGCTTCGATACAGTACTGTGCTCGCAGAAGGACAGGCGAGCCAGCCTGCAGCCAGAGGAGCTGCAGGCTAAAGTGAACATGCCACCACTGGACCACCAGAGCTTGCAGAATTTTCACCTCTCCCTTGTAAAAGGGAAGTAGAAAGGAGGGGGAGACATTCAGATAGATTTTTCACATCTCCCGCACTCTTCACACACACTCTACAACCTTCACACAAAAAATAAATTTTTAAAAATCACACTATAAAATTGGTTACTGTGGCACTGGTGGGCGGTAAGGAAATTTTACCATTAATAAAGATACAAAAGTGGGTGGTAGGTATTATGAGGTTGACTATCATTGGATTTTATAGATATAAAACCAGAATGATCACTTTTTCTACAGCCTAAAAATCTGAGTGAAATTGTGTAAAACGTTATCTTTAGTATATAAACTCTCAAACACCAATATAAGCCTAAGAACTAGACATGTGCAATTCGTTTCGGTCTGAATGTGAATTCGGACGAATTTCAGGCAATTCGGACATTCGGGTACTTCCGAACGTCCGAATAGGTGAATTGTCGAAGTGCCTAAGAACTAATATACTTACCCAGTGGAAGAATGAAGAATGTTACACTGTATACAGCCAAGATTCAGCTGTAAGCATTTGCAACACTTACAACAATCAAGTAACACACATTTATATAAAATGTAAGTTACTTAGCCAGTCAATGTAATAACAGGAATGAATAAGTAGATAACTCTTTTATTCCCATGGTATTAGAGAGCTATCTACTAAAAGGCTGAAAAACCTAAATTGGTCTTTCAGTCAAATTTACTAATACTAAGTAAAAATTACTTAGTATTAGTAAATAATGCCCCTACTCGCTATAATGCGAGTAGGGGCATGTCTATTAAACAGTGAGCAGCCTATAGCAAAAAAAAAAAAACGCTACTAACCTGAACGGTGGGTGGGGGCCCTAAATTAGAATACTAATAAGGGGGGGACCTAATGTCCTCCCCCCTGGCCCACCACCCACTGCTAAGGGGGGAGGACATTAGGTCCCCCCCTTATTAGTATTCTAATTTAGGGTCCCCACCCACCGCTCAGGGGGGTGGGGGCCCTAAATACTAATAAGAGGTGACCTAATGTCCTCCTCCCTGGCCCCAATCCCTGAGCGGCAGGTGGGGTCCTTAAATAAAAATCTTACCCCCCAAGGTGAGTGTTGGGTGGGGGCCCTAAATACTAATAAGGGGGGGACCTATTGTCCTCCTCCCTGGCCCCAACCCCTGAGCGGCGGGTGGGGTCCTTAAATAAAAATCTTACCCCCCAAGGTGACTAGGGGTCCCCAAACCTCTAGTCACCCCCCCCAAAAAAAACTAACCCCTATCTACCCCCTCACCCTAAAAATAATGAGTAGGGGCCATTAACTAAGTACCTGTAAAAAAAAAAAACAACTTACCATTTGATGTTTTCTTTCTTCAGAAATCTTCCTTTTTCAGCCCCCCAAAAGGCCAAATAAAAAATCCATAATAACTGACGCACTTAAAAAAAAGAAAAATATCCATCTTCACCCATGGAGGGCACCGTGCAGACTGAACTCTGCAGGGCGGGGGAAGGCTTATAAAGCCTTGCCCCACCCTGCGATTAGACTCAGAGCACTCTGATTGGTGGGTTTAAGCCAACCAATCAGATTGCTCTGACAAGTAAATGAAGAGACTGACAGGCATTTTTATTTTGGGCCCCCACCTGCCGCTCAGGGGCGGGGACCGTGGGGGAGGGCAATAGGCCCCCCTATTGGCATTTAGGGCCCCACCCACCACTCAGGGGTGGGGGCCGGGGGGGAGAGGACATTAGATCCCCCCCGCTTATTAGTATTTAGGGCCCCCACCCACCGCTCAGGGGTGGGGGCCAGGGAGAGGACAATAGGTCCCCCCACTTATTAGTATTTAGGGCCCCCACCCACCGCTCAGGGGTGGGGGCCAGGGAGAGGACAATAGGTCCCCCCACTTATTAGTATTTAGGGTTCCCACCCGCCGCTCAGGGGTGGGGGCCAGGGGGGGACATTAGATCCCCCCCTTATTAGTATTTAGGGCCCCCACCCGCCGCTCAGGGGTGGGGGCCAGGGGGGGAGGACATTAGGTTCCCCCCTAATTAGTATTTAGGGCCCCCACCCACCGCTCACGGGTGGGGGCCAGGGAGAGGACATTAGGTCCCCCCTTTTTAGAATTTAGGGCCCCCAGCCATCGCTCAGGGGTGGGGGCCGCGGGGGCAATAGGTCCCCACTTTAGTTTAAAAGCCCCCACTCGCGCGGCACGGGTGGGGGCTCAGGAGGAGGGGGACTTTTTTTTTTTTAGACATGCCCCTACTCATGGTATAGCGAGTAGGGGCAAAATTGACTAATACTAAGTACCGTATTTATCGGCGTATAACACGCACTTTTTCTCCCTGAAAATAGGGGAGAAATCGTGGGTGCGTGTTATACTGCCCTTATCTACAGCAGTCAGCCTGTTAAGAGCCATGCGGTTGCAGCTTGTACCACCTCCACACCACGAGCCCTCTGTAACCCAGTGGTCGTCGATCAGGAAGGCACCAGTGTGCACCTTCCTGTCAGTCCGACCGGTTACAGGAAACAGAAACCCCGGCCGCCACCGCAGACTGCAGAGCCACCGCCACGCTACAGGAGGGGGGAGCAAGAAGGAAAAAGAGGGGACAAAAAGAGGGGAGGGGGACAAAGAAAAGGGAGAGGGGGTAAGAAGAGGAGGGGATCAAGAAAGGGGGAGGGAGGGAGTGAGGGGGGTAAGAAGAGGGGAGGGGCCTAAGAAGAGGAGGGTGGCAACAAGAGGGGGCTAAGAAGAGGAGGGTGGGCAACAAGAGGAGGGGGGCAAAACAGGGAGGGTGGGTGAACAAGAGGGAGGGGGGTAAGAAGAGGGGGGAGTAAGAAAGGGTAAGAGGGGAGGGGAAGTAAGAAGAGGAGGGGAAGCAAGAAAGAGGGCAAGAGGAGGGGAGTAAGAAGGGGAGGGGGGAGTAAGAAAGGGGTATAAGAGGAGGGGAGTAAGAAGGGGGGAGGGGGAGTAAGAAGGGGGGTAAGAGGGAGGGGGAAGCAAGAGGAGGGGAGGGGAGGAAGGGGATAAGAGGGGGAAGGGGAAGTAAGAAGAGGGGAAGGGGAAGTAAGAAGGGGTAAGAGGGGGAAGGGGAAGTAAGAAGAGGGGGAGGGGGGAGTAAGAAAGGGGGGTAAGAAGTTCTTTATTTGAAATTTAAAGGACCACTCTAGGCACCCAGACCACTTCAGCTTTATGAAGTGGTCTGGGTGCCAGGTCCCTCTAGGATTAACCCTTTTTTTTATAAACATAGCAGTTTCAGAGAAACTGCTATGTTTATACTGAGGGTTAATCCAGCCTCCAGAGCCTCTAGTGGCTGTCTCATTGACAGCCGCTAGAGGCGCTTGCGTGCTTCTCACTGTGAAAATCACAGTGAGAGCACGCAAGCGTCCATAGGAAAGCATTGTAAATGCTTTCCTATGCGACCAGCTGAATGCGCGTGTGCATTCAGCCGATGACGTCGCGAGCAAGGAGGAGAGGAGGAGTACAGCTCCCCGCCCGGCGCTGGAGAAAGGTAAGTGTTTAACCCCTTCCTCTCTCCAGAGCCCGGCGGGAGGGGGTCCCTGAGGGTGTATAACACGCACCTCATTTTAAGAAGGAAATTTCAGGGGAAAAAAACTTAAAGGACCACTATAGTGCCAGGAAAACATACTCGTTTTCCTGGCACTATAGTGGTCCTTTAAGTTTTTTTTCCCTGAAATTTCCTTCTTAAAATGAGGTGCGTGTTATACGCCGGTGCGTGTTATACGCCGATAAATACGGTAATTTTTACTTATTAGTAAATTTGGCTGAAAGACCAATTTAGGTCTTTCAGCCTTTTGGTAGATAGCTCCCTAATACCGTGGGAATTAGGGAGTTATCTACTAAGCGGCTGCAAGAGAAGTCCCGAATTTCGGAATGCCGAAACCGAACCGAAAATTTTCCCCATGCACATGCCTACTAAGAACTTTATGATTTTAATTAAAGTGGATGACACCTGCTGGTAGAATATGTATATATTAAGCCCAATTGTTTAAGACCAGATTCCTATAATGCTCAGAACCGTAAGCGCTTCTGTACAAAGTGGATTATAAATCAGTTAAAACTCTCCAAATGTGGTTTTGCTCAAGGGCATAAAGAGTGCTGTTGAGGTAATTTACAGCTCAATAAGGTGGCTGATCTCAAACCATTATCAGACAATGGGGAAAATACAAACGGTTGCATAATAGGGAGATATATTCTTATACTTAAGCCTCTGAGGGGCTTACGGATACTGTAAACTTGTGGCAGAAATGTCTCTTACTAGTAGATACACATAATAAATACTACTATTTGTAACACTGGGGG